CCTCAGAAATTCTTCTTCAGTCCGCATCGTCGCTCGTACTCCACAGCAGCTAAGAAAAGCCCGTCGCACCGCCTTTCTTCCTCGGTGAGCTCGCCGTTGATCGGCTCGCACAGCTTCCCTCCTCCGTCTACTCCTCGCAATGGCTCAGCCGCCAGTGGCAAGCATAAACGATCGGTCTCTATACTCTCCATCGATAGTGAAGGAACCGGAGAGCCGACACCCCGGACATCATCACAATTCAGCCACCCCCGACCACTAAGGCGTCATGGGCGCGCGGCAAGTCTACAGGTCTTGCCAAGGAGATATGAAGCATATGAGGATCAGTCCGCAATAGGTACTTGATAACGAAGCAGAGATCAAGGGCATGGGTTGAATGCTAAAAGCTTGCATTTCTAGGTGGTCGCAGTCCCGTTCGCAGCTTTCCACCTACGGAGTCCTCAATTCATTCATCTCCCGGGAACCCCAGAATTGACATCGACGGTCCGAATGACACCAGCCGCCCTGGCTCAAATATCTACAGTCCCAATCGATCAATCGAGCCACCTCGTACCCCTGCGCGTCGGCCTCCATTATCACCGATAGAATTCAAATTTCCGCCGTCCCCAGCTACTGACACCAACAGCCATATAGGCGTTTCAACATTAACATCGCCAATTGAAGAGAATCCTACAGCACCCAGACCTAATGGGAAGGAAATGACGGCTTTGACGGCACCAGGACATTTGCCGCAGCTAACGAGAATCATGTCAACTTCCAGCCTGGCTGGAAGTCACAGAAGTAGTGGGGATTACAACTCGATCAGCGACAATTCCTCAGAGACTCTCCAGTCCGAGTATACAAACTATTCCATGACAGTGCCGCGCCCGCCTATTGTATCCCGCCACTCACGACATGTGTCAAGTGTGGAATCCCCGGGGCTTTCGCCTCACACTCAGACACTGCTTATGGGTTACGCACAGATCAGCGCTTCATTTACTGTGGATGGCTCTCTGATTCACCAATCTATCTTTGAGGAAGTCAAGCGGAAAGGTGTTGTCGGAGGAGCAGGGGGCGCAGTCAGTCCGCTAAGTTGGAAACCAGGTGCGAGCGAAGAGAAGAGTCGCAAAAGCGGCGGCTTCTGGGGTGCGTTCAAATGGAATGCAATTGAGGAGTCATTGAGTGGTCTCCTCTCCAACAACGAACTGGATGGCTTACGAGACATGCGGGGCGTCTCATCGTCTCGATCGATACCACTACTTTCCACAACGCAGTCGCTTCTCTTCGTAGACTTGCGACTGGCACCTGGGGAGGAGCAGTCGTATTCGTTCTCTTTCACTCTTCCAAGTGGCTTGCCAGCTAGCCACAAGGGGAAAGCGATCAAGATATCCTACAATCTGGTCATCGGCACACAACGGCCGAGTAATCGTAACGAGCCGCAGCGGGTGAACCGCATTAGCATACCTTTTCGTGTGTTCAGCGGAGTCAATGGTAAGTGTTGGGCTCGAACCAACTAAGAACAAAGTGATTAATTCCTCTTACAGGCCAGGGAGATATCATGGGCCATGATCTGATGAGCCCCTATGTGCTGCTCCGAGACGAAGCTAGGGTACAAAAGGTCGGAACGAACCCAGCCCCAGTAGTGAAGCCCAAAAGCATTAGTGGCCCTACGTGGACGTCGGCCCCAGAATTCCTATCATACGTGGATGACATCCTTGAAAAAGCCTCCCGAAACAACTCGCTGCACCCACCCGAAGCTTCGGCGGAACATCGAGCAAGTCACGATCTGGCGACCGGTCGACTATCCTGCAAGGATATCATTGACCTCGCCATCCTTCGGAGCAATCAAGCGCTTCATTCATCTCGTAGCCCCAATCGGTTCGAGATCGCCCGCAACGGACGCCGAATCGCCGTTGTTGTCCTTAACCGCCCGTCTCACCGACTAGGCGAGACGATTATAGCCACCGTGAACTTCACCGATGCCGCACTTCCTTGCTACGCTCTACGTGCCACCCTTGAGAGCTCCGAGCGAGTTGCCCCGGCTCTGGCTATCCGATCGAACGCGAGCATCCGTCGTGCGACTCGCAAGGTCCATGCCTCGTATTTCGAGAACACGCTCTACGCGACCCGCGTGGTCTTCAGTCCAGCAATCCCTGTCTCTGCAACACCTACAATCCTCACCACTGGAGTGAATCATGAATGGGAACTCCGATTCGAGTTCGTTACCAGTAATGCGCATGACGGGTCAGCGCCATCGGGTTCGCGATTGTTGGAGGCCGTATCTGAAGACGAACGCGGACGGGTCATGTCAGCCTTGGAAACCATCGGGTGTGAGTCATTTGAGATCGCAATCCCAATCACGATTTATGGCGAGACAGTCAGGGAGCGGCTGCCAGAAGAAAACGAAGGATACGCTATTTGACATAAGCTATATGCGAACGATGTGTATCCTACTACAATTACAAGACGTTAAGAAAATAAGCGACTTCTGGATTCTATGACGTCGCATAGAGTCTAGGACAAATCCAGGTTCCTTGCAGTCTAAGTCAGTCCATGCCTTGGCTGCGCTAGACTGAAACAACGTAATGAGAGACTAGTAAGTTGGGGCATGCCAGCCAGAAAAAACTCCTCTGGGACGTTCTAACTAATAAAGCCTCCATTTCCTTGCGGCGCGACGGGGTCACCGGGGCAACGGACGGGGCGTTGGACGACTTGGGAGTTGGAAGACTGCATCATCCATGGTTCCGTGGGTGGGTGGGAAGCGTGGAGCAACTCAAGAGTCACTACGTACTCAAGTTGGTCTAGTGTAGATAGGAGCAGTAACTTAGTCTATAGATATTGTTGTATAGAATAGATGGTGGTAGTACTCATAGTAGATGCATTCCCCCGCAGCCAATTTATATTAACTCGTGCGACATTGATTAGTTCCTGGTGTTTGCGCCTCATCCGATCTGGTCGGGCCCGAATCGATCGCTGATCCCATCCTTCTTCTCCTTCCCTCTACTTCTCTTTTGTTTCTCTTCCCCAGTCCTCCTACCCCCCCATCGTCGCTCACTTGACACTAACTAAAACACACGCCTATAATCTCGTCTTCAACGCGCCCTTGAGGGACTATTGGCGCTCCAGACCCGGGACTCTTGGCCGAGCCAGTGAGTAACCCCCCTCTCAATGCCTGTGCGCACCCAGATGGACTGACGGATTGCTTGACTGTCTGGCATCGGAATGTAGGCGCATTCTCCTCCCACCACGCACTCGATCCTCCGCCGCCGCCGCCGCTGAAGGAAACAATTCCAGGCAGCCCGCGGCCTTCGACAGGCGACCCGTTCGCTGTCCTTATCTAGTCAAAAGAGAGAGTCTTTTCCTCACGCGAAAAGCGAGATGGCATCTTTCATCACCACAATGTCTGTCCCCGTCACCACCAATCCCTCCTCCTCTTCTTCTTCCTCTTCATCTGCTGCCCCGCCGACTCCGACGTCTTCACGGCGCCCTCTACCTCCCCTCCCTCTCGTCCCTTCAGTCTACCACAACACCGTCCATACTTCCCGCGCTCCTCTCTCTGAACCCCCCTCCTACTTGTCACCGGCGGTGTTCGCGCTGAAAAATGACCCCTGTGGACTGACACCTCCCAGCAATGCTCGCACTCGCGCGCCCTTCAAGCCGCGGTCGGCAGCCAAGGGCACCACCAGCTACCAACTGAGACAATTTGCGGAAGCGACGCTCGGCAGCGGCAGTCTGCGCAAGGCCGTGAAACTGCCCGAGGGCGAGGACTTGAATGAATGGTTGGCCGTGAATGGTGTGTTCCTGATACAAATCAAGTGACCGCCGAATGTGTATGCCACAAGCGTGTTGTCCGCGTGCTGATCCAACCATGTTGTTACCTTCGTCCCCGCAGTTGTCGACTTCTACAATCAGATCAACCTACTGTACGGCGCGATCACAGAGTTCTGCTCGCCTCAATCATGTCCGGAGATGAAAGCGACCGATGAGTATGCGAAACCCGAGTTTCCCAGGTGGTATATATGTCCTCAGAGCTGACAAGGATTCGTGAACTAGGTTCGAGTACCTCTGGCAGGACTCGGAGAACTTCAAGCGCCCGACGAAGATGTCCGCGCCCGAGTATATCGAACATCTGATGAGCTGGGTGCAAAGCAGCGTCGACAACGAACAGATCTTCCCCAGCAGGCTCGGTACGTGATGCCCCAACGGGGGGCGGAGGGTTCACCCGGTTCTGGCTGCAGCCGCTACAGCCGCTACAGCACTCTACAAGCTATAACATTGGCGGCGGTGGCAGGTGCTAACATTTGGAAACCCACTGCAGGTGTTCCCTTCCCCAAAGCGTTCCCCAGTCTGGTGCGACAGATCTACAAGCGTATGTACCGGGTGTATGCGCACATTTACTGTCACCACTATCCCGTGGTGGTGCATCTCGGCTTGGAACCCCACCTGAACACCAGCTTCAAACACTACGTTCTGTTCATCGACGAGCATCGCTTGGCAAGCGGGAAGGACTTCTGGGGGCCTCTGGGCGACCTGGTGGACAGTATGCTGCGGAGTGACTGATTTGCGGCTGACAGGCGAGCACACGAGAGGATGAAGGATGACGGGACCAGGGCGTTTGGGCGTGGAGGCATTCGTAAAAGGGAACATTTAAAGAAGGTCGTAGAGGCCGTCCGGCGTTTTTGTTTCGTTTCTGATAAAGGTATTGAGTTGATGGGCATTGCATATTACCGCTGTTCGATGTTTGTATGCGAATGAAAGCAGTAAGCAGTCTCTCTTTCCAATTGTCTGGTGTAGTATGAATATGAGTAGTACGAGAGGGAAAGAAGAATAGCCGAAAACCCGGCGTGTGCGGGACTCACGTGACCGCCCTAGCCGGCAGGAACTGAACCTGGCCCCGAACCTCGAGACGCCATCACCAAACGCAAGTCAGTCAGTCTCCATCGACGAAACACAGACGTCTTCTCGCATCTCCCTCCCTCCTCCACTCCCCCGGTTCGCCCAGGTCCTCCTTCTCACCGATCACCATGTTCTCCGTTCGTCTCGCCCGCGTCGGCCTCCGTGCCTCCGCCCAGCAGTTCACCGTGCCTCGCACTGCCGCTCTCAACGGTCTTCGCACCTATGCCACCCCGGCCCAGGAGGTCAAGCCCCCGGTGTCTCTGTTCGGCGTTGACGGCACCTATGCCACTGCTCTGGTATGCACACATCACACTCAGCACGGTTCTTCCTGGGGTGGTGGTCCAATTCGTTGCTGTGGCGTCTCCCCTCCGCCCTCGGTCCAATGGGTGTGCGCGCGCGGGCTGCTCCAATCCGTCTCGTCTCTTCAATCACACGCAAGATCAACTTTCCTACACCATGGGAAAATACCACAAACAGACCTATACAAGAACCCGAACTGAGACGAGACGGAAAGCGAGCAAGGGCACACAAGACACCAGCAACAATTGGGCGGACAAACACCAGCCCTTGTCCAAATCATCCACAGAAAAAAGCCTCCCCCTCGAAGGAAACAGAAAGCGAGATATCCGGCTAACTCAAATCCTTCTCATTGCTGCTTATAGTACACCGCCTCGGCCAAGTCCGCCGCTCTGGAGCAGACCGCCAAGGCCCTGGGCAACCTGAGCCAGACCCTCAAGGCCGACCGCAAGCTGATCGAGATCCTGAACGCCCCGACCCTTTCCGTCTCCGACAAGCAGCAGATCATCGCCGAGCTGCAGAAGGTGGCCGGCGGCGCCGACAAGGCCGAGATCATCAAGAACTTCCTGGCCACCCTGGCCGAGAACAACCGCCTGGGTCTGCTGGAGGGTGTCTGCGAGAAGTTCGCGACTCTCATGGGCGCCCATCGTGGTGAGGTCGAGCTGAGCATCACCAGTGCTCAGGTAGGTTGCCGTTCCTCCTGGAGCAATTCCAGGGTCTCAATCAGCACCCAAACACTAAACTAACACACCAAATTTCTAGGAGCTCGACACCAAGACCCTCAACCGTCTCGAGAGGGCCGTCTCCAAGTCCGAGTTCAGCCAGGGCAAGAAGCTCAAGGTTGTCTCCAAGGTAACTCCCCCTTTTATTATCTCCTACTCCCCAAACTGGACACCTAACAATGGCAACAGGTCAACCCCGACCTCCTCGGCGGCCTCGTCGTCGAAATCGGCGACCGCACCATCGACCTCAGCGTTTCCTCCAAGATCGCTAAGCTCAACAAGGCTCTCACCGATGCTCTGTAAATCTCTTTTGCTTTTTCCCGGCAAAAAGAAAATAAATTATGTTTGTTGATGGAAGCAACAAAACCGTCTCTTCCATCAGTATAACTATATTCCCTCATCCCCCCGAACCCGTTCACACACACCCCTTCTATCGTCTCACCTCCCTTTCATCCGTCATACAAATGTATCCTAAATCTCAATTATGCGACTTTTCTTTGAACTTTTTTTTTGGGGGGGGGGGGGGGGTTGAGGTATTATCTTTGGGTACTGGGGTTGGTTTCGGAGGTGTAAATGTGCTGTAGAGTGTGGAGTGGAGTGTACACCTAGAAGTAAGAGGTGTGCACCCGACGATGATGGGGTTTGAATAGGGTTGAGGTGTAGATGTAGATGTAGATATTAAGAATACTTATCTATCAGGCTACAAGAGCATCAACCCTCTAACAGTCAGACGATATCGAGCTCAGCCAGCCGAGTTAGACCCCATCATACTTGCACCATTACAGTAATACAGGTATATCCAGCGACAAGACCCCTGAATTTAGAGGGGGGTAGCGACGTTAACGAAGTCCAAGCCCAACCCCGACCCCATGCAGAAAGACTCCCCTCTTTAAAAAAAGTACCTCTGGCTTGGCTATTGTACATGCAGTACCATATCCGCTGAACGGAGCAGACCTAGTTGGCAATCCGGGGCAAGTAATCCAGAGGAGTTGCAGTATTGCAGAATCGCTGGCTGCGGACGGATGGACCGCGTCTTCAATGTACTGTACTGTACTGTACTGTACTGCACATCCTGTAGCACAGCTATATAGTCGGCGAGGCCCCTGCTCCTGGCTTGAGGAACGGGACTTTGGGTGTTGACTACTAGTCTAGTTCAGGATAAACATGTGTCGCTGGTTTGCGTGCTCGAATCTTGGTTTTGTGACTTTTTGTTGAAGTGAAGCAAGCGGGTGTTGGTTCTACATAGATTAGATATAATGCATTGGATTATATGTTGGGGTTTCGCTGAGGTTGGTCAATTTCAGGCTCGGGGGTGGTTCGGTTGGTGATATTATCAGATGGTAGACACTTAAAGAGGGGTGAGGGGGTTGGTTGGTTAGAGCGAGGGTAGACCCTGCACCAAGCCAGAGAATAACGAGAAACAAAGCCGCGGACAATTCAGGCGATGAATGTATCTTCACAGCAAGCGGTCTGAATGAGGGGTCATATCTTCATTCCATCTATGCAGCATTTCAGCTTGAAAAGGGGAGGGAAAAAAGAAAAAGAAAACAGATAATCAGACAATCTTTATTCATGCTTTCGAAATGATCACCGCTCTGAAATCAACAACATTACTACCCATCTAACACATCTTCGGAAATAAACATCTGTCTAACTTTGTACTAGGTCCCAGTCCCCGTCGACTTCATCTCTCTCTCATTCAATGTCATCTTTCCATAAATTTCAATGCCCGTTGGGGGCGCGGTCTGCCTGCGCCTCAAATTCATCCTCGTACGCTCCAATCGAAGCTTGGCTTCTTACGCGCTGCAGCTGACTCTCCACATATTTGTGAACATGCTCGTTCTGGAGGTCGGTGTCGACTTTCCGGTTTTCGTCGTCCTCGTCGAGGGCAGTCTCAGGAGCCGGGGTCTCGCGTCCAGAGAGAGTGGACTCGAAGTCGCTGCGGTTGCCGATTGAGCGGGTCGTGGAAGAGCGGCGAACGCTGGGACGACGGCTGCCGCGTGGGCGGGAGAATCGAGTGAAGACGTCGTCGAAGTAGTGCGATGCTGCTGCGTGGGGGGTGCGGGGTGTTTGTGGGAGACGGCAGTTGATACTAATAGCACTATTAGCCAGGAACAATAGACAGACAGACGTGTGAGGTGTGACATACCCTGTGTCATGGATGATCTTGGCAATGAGACCAGTCCATCCGCACTGGTGAGACGCTCCAAGACCGCGGCCGGTGTCTCCGTCGAAGAACTCATGGAACCACATGTAATCCTTCCAGTGCTCGTCAAAGTCGAGGAGGTCGGATCCATTGTGTACCGCCCGGCGGCCTTCGTCGTTGCGGGCGAACAGGTGCTGCAGCCGATGCTGAATCTCTTCGGCAATGTGCCCGAGATGCATGTACTCGCCGGAGCCTGTGGGACACTCGATCTTGAATGAATCGCCATAGAACATGTAGAAGCGTAGCAAAGACTCGATGAGCAGGAAGTTGACACACAACCAGATCGGCCCACGCCAGTTGCTGTTGCCTCCGAACAGCCCACTGTCGGAGTCTCCTGGAACATAGCTGACTCGGAATGTCTGACCGTTGACATCCATCGAATAGGGGTGTTCTCCATGATACTTGGACATCGATCGAATGCCGTGCTCCGACAGAAACTCGGTCTCGTCCAGCATGCGCTTGAGAATTTTCTCCAGGCGGTCCTTGCTCACCAACGCTAGAAGGAGTCGCTCGTCTTTGCCGCGGTGCTTCATGCTTGCAATGTTGCGCTCGGCCACATCTTGGCGATTCTCAACGAACCATTCCAAACGCTTCTTGAAAGATGGGAACTTGTTGATCAACTCGGGCTCAAGTGTGAGGACGGCATAGAGAGGGATCAAGCCGACCAAAGACCGCACAGGTAGCTGCTGGGTCCATGGGTCACCGTAGGAGATCGCATCGTAATAGAAGCTATACATCGTAAGCAATTATCTGAATTGTTAGGCATCGGACCACTGACCCATCTTCTTCGTTCCAGAGGGACGATTCCTGACCTCCTGATCGGAAAGTCATGGCATCACTAATCAGAATGAAGTGCTCGAAGAACTTGGAGGCAACTGGACCTCTATCAGCACATAAGTAGCTCAATATAGAGGGTGAGATCACTCACTGTCTTCGTAAATTCTCCGATGCTTGGCCAGCTCCAACGCGATGTTCAACATGCACAGGCAGTAGAAGGCCATCCATCCTGTGCTATCGGCCTGCTCCAGCACACCGCCGGTGGGGAGAGGCTCGGAGCGGTTGAAGAGGCCGATGTTGTCCAGCCCCAAAAAGCCGCCCTCAAAGACGTTCTTACCGTCGGAATCCTTTCGGTTGACCCACCATGTGAAGTTTAGCAAAAGCTTCTGGAACACCCGCTCCAAGAAATCAAGGTCCTGCCGTCCATACATCTTACGCTCAATCTTGAAGACGCGGAACGTAGCCCAGGCATGAACAGGAGGGTTCACATCACCAAAGTTCCACTCGTAGGCTGCAAGCTGACCGTTGGGATGCATGTACCACTCGCGAGTGAGGATGTCCAGCTGCTTTTTCGCAAATTCCGGGTCGATCATTGCAAGTGGAATGCAGTGGAACGCAGTATCCCACGCAGCGAAGAATGGATATTCCCACGAATCGGGCATCGAGAGAATATCCTCCATGTACAAGTGTTTCCACTGTTGGTTTCGAACGTGCTTCCTACCGGGGGGAGGTGGGATCATCGCAGGGTCGCCATTAGCCCACTGGTCCCAGACGAAATGGTAGAACTGCTTGTTCCACATCATTCCGGAGAAAGCTTGCCGCTGAATATTCCGCAAGTCATCGCTCATGGGCAAAGGACTGATATGGTAGTAAAAGTCATCGGCCTCATTTCTGCGCTGGTCGATCACATCATCCAGCACTTCTTCATCGATGAACGGTTCCAGGCGTCGAGAGAATCGGAAACGAACGACCACGCATTCGCCGGGAGGAACACCCTCGCCCTCATCAAAGGCATACCAGGCGGCAAACTTGGTACCCTTGTTTTCGGGATTGACTGCACCCTTCTCACCGTTGACAATGTGACGATGAAAGGCGTCTTTGACGTAGGGCTGATCATTCTTGGTGTTCCAGAGAAATTCGTTATTGGTTTCGTTCTCGGTGAACAGCAGCTTAGGAACCACATCTTCCTCCCCAGTCACAGACGGGGAAGGAGAGAACCGGACATAGCGCTCGCCAAGTTTGTGGTGTTTGGTCTTAGCGATCAGAGGATAGGCTTTCTCCACGGACGGCTTGGCGTTCTTCTCCTCATACCCCCATGCCCAGGTGTTGCGGAACCACACATGCGGGATGATGTGCAAGTGTGCTGGCTCAGGTCCTCGATTGTAGGCGATAATGCGGAACAAGAGTTCTTCCTCATCGTCGTCCTCTTTCGCAGTCTCGATGAAGATATCCCAGTAACGATTCTCATCGAAGGCATCAGTGTCGAGGATCTGGTACTCGCGGTCACTTTTCCCGCGTCGTGCGTTCTCCTCAGCAAGCTCCTGGTAGGGAAACTTCTTCTGGGGATACTTGTAGAGGAATTTCATGTAAGAGTGCTATGCGCGTGGTCGGATTAGAAACCAGAATGAAGTCAAATCCACGCCGAGGGAGCAGAAGGGTCTTACTGTCGGAGTGTTATCGAGATGGAAATGGGCCTCCTTGACACTCTCGCCATGGTTTCCCTGGGGATTAGACAAACCGAACAGACGCTCCTTCAAGAAGTCGCTAAAATCGAAGGTGAGCCAAGTTTACTACAGACGTGGACCGGACCCCACATACTCTTTGCCGTTCCAAAAAGCAAAAGCGATGTTTTGCAAGCTGTGGGTATCGGACACACCGGCGATACCGTCCTCACCCCAGCGGTAAGTTCGGGACCGCGCATGGTCGTGGGAAAAGTCTACAGCGGATCAGAGCGATCAGTCATGAGTGGTATAATCAGCATGTGAGCGCAACTTACAGCTCCAGGCATCTCCATTCTCACTGAAAGTGTAGAAATAAGATACTCCGTCAGCGATGGTTCAATTGATGCCATTGATGCATCTTGCAGCGAAATGCACGAAAGAGTAACGCTTACGAGTAATCTTCGCGAACTGCGGGGCGGCAGGAGAAATGAGGTCATTGCGTCAGTTTCAGGTGAAATCTCCCAGCCTCCAGATCGAAGGGGAGAGAGCATACCAGTAGCCCATTGTCTCTCGGCGACGTAGGGACCCCAGCGTTTCCAGTAGCGAGTGCGCTCGCGATCTTCCTTGAGTCGTTGCTCCTCGCGGGATTCGTACGAATGCTTGTCAATGAGGACCATGGTGACGCCGATCGAACGCCCTTCGGGTAGTAGATAAGAGAATCTACCACGGGAGGGAGAATGGCAGTTACAAACAACGGAAGGGGAGAGTGAGATGGAGAGAGAAAAGAAAAAGGAAAAGAAAACAAAAGAAGGAGAAACAGGTGAGGGGAAGGAAGGGGAAGGAGGAGAAAAGATGACGGAGTCGGAGTAAGTAAGTTTAGTTAGTCTAGTGTAGAAAGAGAGAGAGAGAGAGAGAGAGAGAGGAAGAGAAGGAAGCCGGAGAAAATGATGATGATGAGGAGGAGGGGAGGGGCAGCAACACAACCAAAGGAAACAGGGAATCCTTCCGGGAGCTCAGCGAGCTAGAAGACTAGCTGAACCTGATATTAATTAACAAGACTACGGTACCGACTAACTAGGTACTGTGCTAGGTAGCTAACTTATCATTCATGCTGCACGACAACACAGAGCATGAGAGGGGAGGGACTGGCGATAGCAGAGTCTGCCTGCTATGGTCTGGACCCTCGCTCGGACGCCTCTTTGGCGCTTTTCTGGGGTTTCGCCCGCGTTTTCCCTGGTTGGGGCAGAGCAGCACTGACATCATTGCCTTCACGGGCGTGCACCAGAATTCCACAGAAGAATGCAAATTGAGAAGTGTGATGAAAAGATAAAAAAAGATTGATGAGATTGACTCTGCATTGCTCCGTCCAGAGTTACACTCACCATCTAGTTCCTCAGCATTAGTTATTATCAATACGAACAGGATTCGCCATTTGCGGTTAGCAGATCCAGCAGCATATTGCCGAAGTTGAGAGTAGATAAACCCCTCATGAGAATGACTCGACCAGGCTGCCAGTCTCCGAATCACCGGCAAACGATCAAGATCTTTTCTTGTCGGGTCTGACTGACACCCATTGCAATCACGGCCCGGATGATTTCAAAGCTAGCCGTGACGATCAACCGAACGCCCGTTGGGAAGAATATCCGCACGAAAAGAAAGGCATTTCTGCCCCATCAATCGTGACCTTGGCAACATCGAACCGAATTAGGGCGATAAGGCACCGTCGAGCAATATTAGGGCCGTTGGAAAACGACCCATTCACATCGAGCAGAGAAATACTCCTGTCAAGCGCTCCTGTCGCGGTGGGAGATGGATGGATCGGCGCTGTCGGTCGGGTCGGGCACGGCACTCGATCGACATTGACATGAGCCACTCGAGGAGGATTCTTCTCTTCCATTGACTGCTAATCCAGCACTGCACAGCAAAAGCACAGATAGCTTGGGCACGGAGGAAGAGATCTTTTTCTGGACTCCCATTCCCCGAGGGATCGATCGGATGCTGTGCAACAAACAGTTGGGCTAAAAATAGACCATCGAGGGGGCGACTCAGTCCGTTACCCTAAGACAAACACAGCAGCCCGCAGCGACTTCTTCTTCACTCTCAGTTCATCTTCACAAAACACTGGAAACATTCAAGAAACAACCCGCTCCTGAAATAATCCGCTTGTTGACTATCAGAATATGATAATGGAACATGTTACGCCACAGAAGAATGATGAAACACCCCTTCACCCACTAGACTCGTGAGATCGTGGCATGCACGCTCAACTCGGCCATCGACGCTATCCAGCGCGAAAAGGACTCGAGCAACAAAAGCTGTGCACCGACATCTGCTTGACCCTCCCATGCGATGAGGTATGCGCGAGTGTGGGAACACGATGACCGGTGCAAACAAACAGAAAGGCAAAGAATGAGAATTGAAGAAGAAAGAGAAAAAACAAAAAAAAAAACAAAAACCGATTTCTCCCAAACATGCTCGCCCGATAAGGATATATAAAATATTGTAGCAGTGAAGTCGAAGCCCATCAGATTCTCCTGTCCTTGAAACCATAACCCAGATTATATGCTAATGTGCCCACGCTGGCCCGCCTACATGCCGTTATGAACTGCGGCCTTGGCTGCGTCGCAGCTGTTCATCGCCGCTGGAGTATTGTGCTGAATCGGTGGGCGACGACGACGCTGACGTGTTTCCTGATCAGCAGCGATGGCGGTTAGCGATGTTGTTATCGGCGAGATCAAACGGCGAGGCTCGATTTACCTGAGCCTCCGTAGAACCGACCGTCTCTTTGCGCTGCAGGGTTTCTGGCCTCCATAATCACCGACTGTCGAGCTTTGAGGCGTTCTTCGGCTTCGCGGATCTTGGCTTGAAGTTGTTCGAGTTCGCGGGTCTGGATCATCATCTGCAGCTTCCTGGTAGAGTTGCTCTATCAGCTCATGCGATCATGTGGTGACCTGCCAACAGAGGCCCGGCACAGGATGGGTCTCAGGATGAATGTTCGTTGAGAATGTGAGTGGAACCTACTTTTGGTCGATGGTCTGTGAGAGATGATTGACATCGGTGTCCAGAGAAAAGGCGCTATCCAGCGCGGTCGAAAAGGCCTGTGCCATGGTCCTGCCATGTCTTGGTCAACGCCCACATCTAAAAACGGAGGGGAGGAGCGCAAAGGAGTACGAACGACTGAGGGCGACCGCTGGGCTTCCATTCTTGCTCCGAGTCCGATGACATTTTTGATGATTGTGATAATAGTGTTCGGTTGATCCGATGGGCGTTGGGGAAGAGCGGGATACGAGAGAGCTGTGGCAACTGGAAGGTCGGTATGGCGGGAGAAGTAAGGAAAAAAGGAGTATGCGAAACGCAACAGGCTGAGAGGCTCGGAGGGGAGTTATTTGGGAGCGCGCGCGTCTTTAGCGGAACAGGGGGTGTTGGAAGTGGATATGATAGCACGGACGGGGTGGGCCTTACGCCTTAAATTATGGGGGGGAGGGGGAGATTAGGAGGAGAAAAGAGGAGTGGAAGAAGAGGCGAAGAACAAAAGAATTTCTCCAACGGGAGAGTGCTATGCACACAGACGGTAAGTAAGACTGAGTTAAGTTAACGCATAGAACAGTCGGTCAGATTGCAAGCGCTTGCTGTCTCTACCAACTATAAGCCAGGAAGGAGGGGGGGGGGATGGACCACTTTTGAGTTATCAGAGACAGAGTAGGTAAGTTAGTGAGTGAGTGCTCATAACCTGGTTACAATTAAGTACGGAGTAGTTGACAGGGGCACACAGCACGATCGGCGGAATGACGATGGCTGGCGCTGGGAGGGGGTCCAAGAGGCGATCTGATGCAAAGACCCTCTCTGCGTGTGGATTCCTGGTATCGGTTATTGGTGGTGGTGCATGCAAGATTCTCCCAGGGTGGGCTGGATATTCATGGATCCATTCATCCAAGTTCATAGCAAGCAAGAGGAGGAGTCACTTGGTCTTTAGGGAGGGTGGAAGTGCACTGTTGAATCGGATAAGTTTAGCTTAGGTCTAGTCCATAGTCCCGTCTGCACCGGTACCGGTAGTTACTGAGGTGGGTAAATAGTCCTGTTGCTCTTGGCCACTAGTAACTCTTGACCATCTGGTTGGGGAGTATTATTATTTTAGTTTCATTATTGCTCCGTCCTTTTTACTGTGATGGAGATTTCCCCTGAAACTATGGAGGATTGTACCCGCTCGGTACCTTTCACGTGACCCGTGCCCCTCCCCCTAACTCCATCCTCGCCAGAGCTTTCCGTACTGCCACCCACCCTTTGGGTTTAATGCCACCGCCACAAGCCTCTTAACTTAGCACTAACTAGTTAGCAACTATCCACTTGGACTTCCAACTATCAGCGTATAGCACTGGGGTTGACAGCGGTCAAATGCGGAGTTGACTGCATGTGTATGATGATCGTTCTCAATATTCCATCTTGTCACTTCTGTCCGTATAAATAGCTTCTCATAGTGGTTTTGACATTAGAAAGTTCTCCGGCGACTTCAACCCCCCGCCAACCCCTTTCGCCAGCCATGCTCGCACAGCTGCTGCTGCACCTGGCAAGGAGAAGAACATCGACTTTGGCATATGGTGGCTGTTTTGAACTTGACAGCCCCTTTCAACCTCGAGATTGACATCGCTAGACCCTCAGTTGAGTAAACTTATGCCAGGCCGTGTAAATCCAGACGTTGTTGGATGGTGGTAGATTGGTGAATATCAAGGCAGACTTCCAATACTGTATAGTTATTTCACCCCAAAAGGCACAGTACCTCAAACAAGGCCAACATCGGCCGCTGTGGAGGTCATCAAGCCTCGTACTGGTCAATCCACCACCGTACCAAAAAGAAGAGTCAAGTTTGGAGAAGATGGAGCAGGTCAGGGCCCACGGGCATAATATGGTTGAGATGAGAATGGAAGTCGAAACATGCTGTGGCTCCTCTCACTGCGCTCTTGACTTGGAGTTTACTGGCCCCGCTAGCAGGAGTTGCTTGACGAATGGCTGCGGCCAGTAGTTATAGTTGACCGGATAGTTCAGGGCACTCCTATGATGCCTCAGGGCCGCTCTCTTGGTGACTGAGATCTGCGACTTTCGCTTCTCTTACAAACTCTGAAGCCCTTTGATCTTTGGCAGATTCTCCGATCATAGGCAGTAGTGAAATTGTGTAGGCTTCGAATGGCGGCTGAGATGCGATAGAAATTCAGCACACTGGCCTGTAATTCACACATGGTCAATACTTATTGAGGATAGGAGGCATTTCAATCTGACACGGCGATTCTTCTAGTTTCATGCTACGCACGGTTGGATCTGTTTGATATGGGATGTTATTGGAGTATGCGTGGTAGCATGGATCCACCTAGTGTTGTCTCACCTTCGAATGATGTATCTTTCAGCCTCAAGCTCGCAGAAGCCTCTTAATCACTAAGACTTCACTTTATCTCAGATGAGTCCATAGAGCTTCAAGCAGTGACCTACCACATTTGATATGAGCCCAAAGCAGGCCAGAACTGTCTTTGATCAAGGTGTTTAAACGTTGAACTGCGTTTATGGTATGGGACGACGTGCATGTTGCTGAAGACCACTTTTCAACTTGGCTAAACTCATACAAAGAAAGCCCAGGCCAGACAGTAATACAGATATTAATCTCTTCCGGCTCTTCCGGCACAGAAGCTTATCAAACCTTCAGCATCTTTTGAGAGACATCCTGTATAGCGCTCGATCGGAGCGATACGCTAAGATACTTGAGCTGGCATAATGCACAAAGGCAACTTGAGCTGACCAAGACATTCGACCATGGGAGTCAGAGAAGACAAAGTTCTTTGGGTGAGAGCTATTTGATAGACTACCTAGTACTTATTATTGTACCTATCGTGCTGTGTTGAAGCATGTGCTTTTATCTACCCGAGTGAGTACAATCCAGCCCAGAGTCCCGGGCTGGGCCGACGCTAGCATCACAGAGCCGGCGCTACTAAGCCCAGGCCAGGTACCGTCCACTGCTCTGCTATGCTAGAATTACTAGTACAGATCACGGTGTATTGACTGGAGGAATCATGATGCTGTTGGGTTCGTTTGGGTGAGAAAGTATTCGGATGAAAGAGAATTTCGATTCAGAGCATACTATCTCATAGCCCCTGATAGGAGACTCGCGCGGTGCCATGTTCCTCACTTTTATACAAAGTACTCTATATGCCATACTGGAAAGGAGGGAAGAGTGGTAAGAGCGCCCTCCCCAGGTCAGATGTTAGGCCAGAAAGAAAGATAAGCCAAATATCTGCGACTGGGCAAAGTGGCCATTGTCAAACCTGAAAGGTGGCAGGTTGCCGTGACAATAAGTGTAATAAATCAACAAGCTGCTGAATACGGTTTGTTCCGACTTCCTCCATTCCCGTGTCCCACGTGACTCGCAGACCTTTTCCGGATCGGTCGCGGGAGAAAGGGTGAGTGAGTGAGGTGATGAAGGAGCCCAGCAGTGAAAGACAGACAGACAGACTCCCTTGGGGGGGGAAAACGCAACATCGCGGCGAGAACTGATTCCATCCTATCCTATCCACACCTCTCTCCCCTCGACCCCCATCCCATCATCCCATCCCATCCCATCCCATCCCATCCTACCCATCCTACCCATCCTACCCATCCTACCCATCCTACCCATCCATCCATCCCCGTTCCTTTTTTATCCACCATCGTTGTCATCCTTTTTTTCTCTCTAAATCCATTTTGGGTACCTCTTCCCCCCTAAACGATACTCCATTTTCTCCCAATTTTCTACGGTTTCCTCCCACCCCGCGTTACCCATCTTGACACGGTCGCGTTTTTCCCGTCTCTGATTTTCTGCCTAATTTTTCGACTCCCCCTTCCCTTTTTTTTGCGCGGATGGTCTAAACCCGCACCTCTAATCCTTTCCTTCCAGTCCCGCACACGCGACCTTGTCGGCCTGGTTTTCAAGGCACGAACGTCCATCTGGGTTCGGTACCACCCACCGAGAGTCCTCTATTGCAGGGCCAAGCTACAAAGCGGTTGACGCTGAACGTTCGGATTAACTTACCGGGCCAACCGTCTCGCAACGAACTCTTTTATCACCGTGGCCCCCATTCCAAGATCCCTCTCCCCCGGCGGCCGATCTGACGGGCAATGGGGGATGCCTCCTCTATCTGCTTACACCCCCTTTGAGTCGCTCCTCTTTTTCCAGTCCCTCGCTGCCTTAGATGCTCGACCCGCGAGTTTCGCGACCATCTCCGATGTTCTTCGCAATAATCCATTCATTCGCCAGAATGCCGCGTTTGATGCCGGGAGACTCGCCCCGGAGGCCCTCGAGGACCTCTATACGACGTTGATGAGGGAAGGTGTCGACTCGATCGGTGTCGTCGCGGCTCATGAGCCAAATGGTCGCCATGCGGAGAGTCCGGTTAACCCGAAAAAACGGAAGATTACGAGCCCACAACCAGATGGGTTGTCCGAAAAAGGGTCGAGCCATACCAGCCTAATGCCAACCCTGGTGTCGCATCTGTACGCTAGGTATAAGGAGCTTGTGACGAGGGAAATTAGGAACGATGAGATGAGATACACGGAGATCCGAAACGAGATTGAACTGTTGCAGAAGGAAGAACTCGAAGCACAGCCGGAGGCCATTATGCGCCCGCCGCAGCAGCCAGTTGCACCCCCGAAGCAAGAACATGCGCCGGAACCAATGGACTTGGATGTGAAGGAAGAGAGACCGCCCCAGAAACCTATGCCCGCACCAATTCAGTCAAAGCCTCCGCCGCCGGTTGTGGAGAGGGCGCAAGCACAGCCCGTGCCGCAACCCAAGGACTTGCGGCCGGATAAGCAACCACCAAAGGCTATGCCTTACCTACCTCAGACGCCTTCACAACTCCCCAAGCAACCAGCAGGACAGTCACTAAAAGATCCGACCAGACCGATTCAGCCGCAACCTCAACAACTGCAGCCATCGGTGCAACCACCTCAACCCACCCCACAGATGGCGACGGGCAGGCCACCTCAACCGCAGACACCAAATGGAAAGACCTTTCCGGCGCCGCAGGCCAAAACCGTACCTCGGAATGTCCCCGCGAAAGCTGGTGCAGCCGGTGTGACATTCATGTCGCCGCAGGTTCCACCCCCGAATATCACCTCTTCAAATCTCAGCGCTGGCAAACCGCCTGGTCCTATGCAGCCACAAATCGTACCCAAGGCTATCTCTACTCCACAGCAATCCACCCCGGTTGGCAAGCCTGCTGCTAAGGCAGGCGCACCAGCCACAGCGTCCACTCCAATTCATCAGCGTCATCCACCACAGTCGAGTTTCCAGCAATGGTCTCTGCACCAACCTCCCCAGACACCTCAGCCTTCGCCTTCACTTATCAAGCCGAAGCCTGAGCCTTCGAACAACCCTTCTTTGGAGAGGCCTGTCCCAACGTTTCAGCAACCTATACCCAGTGTTGAGAGCAAGTTGGCTCAACAGGGTCAACCGCCCATACCCTTCCCTTCAACTCCGGGCCCAGCGCCCGCAGCAGCGTCCTCACCAGCTTTGGGTGTCCCAGCTCCTGGCTTCCAGACTCCAGTAGGAACCGGGCGAGCTGCTTTGATCCCGGGTCCACCAGGTTCACGTCCTTTGCGACCATCGGTTGACACCATTGGCTCACTCACGCCTTGGAAGAGGACCCCGCGTTTGAGTCTGAGCATACCCGAATCTCCCCGCTCGCCAGACCGACCACGTCCGGAGGAGATCAGTCCCATCAGCGAGAAGGCACCATCCCCGCCTGGATCGCGTGAAGCAACACCAGAAGAACCCGAGCCACGCCGTCTGAAACGCCGAACGGATCGCAAGGGCAATTCAACGAGCTCAGAGTCGAACCAGCCCGCCGTCGATGCCGATACAAAACCAGGATCGAAGAGGAAGGTGGATAAACTGACTCCATCCACCGGAAAAGATCGAGATCGAAGCACGGCATCGTCAAGGAGTCGCGGACGATCCGTCTTGTCGCGGGATGACGAGTCAACTACGGAAAGCGGGTCTCAGCCTAAGGTCAAGCACGAGATGCCCAGCACACCTGTTGGTGTGCCTGAAATGGCGGAGCCGGAACGTCCGTCAATAAGTCGACCAGGCCGGGGGCGGCCAAAACGCAAGCGTGCCCCCAGCGAAGAAGCCGAACCTCCTCAGACTGAAGCCAGTCAGCTCACCCGTCTTGACCCGAATCAATCGACCCCCTATGTGCTGTGTGCGCGTAGTTTCCCAAGAACCGGTGCCCCCATCATGAATGATGTCACCATGCACAAGCATGCTTCTATCTTCGCCAAGCCACTAGCAGAACGCGATGCTCCTGGCTATCGAGATCTGATCTATCGACCACAGGATCTGAAATCTATCAAGTCAGTGATGTACCAGGGCAGTAAGGCTGTCGCTGCGGCTACGGAGGCTGCTAGTACACCTGCTGGCGATGGGGAGTCCCCGGCGCCCGGTACAGGTACTCCTTCCAAGAATGCGGTTTTGATGCTCCAGAAGACGGAGGATGTCATTCCTCCCAAAGGTATCGTCAACTCGGCCCAGCTTGAGAAGGAGCTGATCCGGATGTTTGCGAATGCCGTCATGTTCAACCCTGTTCCACAGCGGGGCTTTGGACCGGGCTTCCCTATGAGCAGCGATAGTGGCTCTCGAGCAAGCACGCAGGTTCCCGAGATTGACGAAGGAGGGATCATCAAAGACACGCTGGAAATGTTCGAGGATGTCGAGCAGGCCGTCACGCGATGGCGGGCGGCCGAGCGGACCGCCGACGAGCTGGCCAGCAAGAGCATCCTCTCACTTCGACGCGGCAGTGCAAGTGATCCCATGACGGACAGTGCAGATGAGATCAAAGGCTCATGAATTTTGTGCTGCGCTATTTTACGATTCCAAAGAAAATCTATGTAATGTTAGACCCAACGGAGAGATGTAGACTTTTTCTTCCAAGTGTGATATCATGTTGGCCTTCTTCTAATTCTATAATCATAAAGCTTTTTTGGGTTTGTTGGATCCCCCCCTATATACCCGTGGGAAACATATGCAGAAAAGAACAACAAGAAAATATTCATATACATCATGAGTTATGGATAGGTGTTGGCATCTGGGAAGATACCGCACAAAAATCAAGCCGACCCAGCGGGGATCATCGCCTGGCTCGGCTTCGTCCTGCCCAAGCCCTCCTTAGCGTAGAAATCCATGGGATACACGCCGCCATTGGCGGTGTCCCAGCTCTCCCTGATCCCCAGCGCAATCAAGGCCTCGTAGGGCGTCAGCAGCGGCCGCGGGAACGCATACCCCCAGTCGATACTCAACCGGGGGCAAGCGATCTGCACCCAGCACTCGACATCGGCCATGGCGCCCAACTTTCCCGGAAAGATCTCACTCAGCAGCAGATTGACAAAGGGAATGTTTTTGGCGCGGAGATGACTCTCAATCATCGCCATGGTGTGGGGGTTCCCCTGGCGGCCCAGGGCGCCCAGAATGATGCCCCATTTCTTGGCCGATCGGGCGGTCTGGATCGCGTCGCGGCGCAGGGTGTGCATCTCCTCGTGCTCGTAGCTCTCGCGCGAGAGCACGCGGGCGTAGGGGTCGTAGCGGTAGGCGGGGATGGCCGGGTTGTGGATCATGGCGGACTCGAGGTGGAAGCGGCCGTCGCCGAGGTAGAGGAGGTAGTCGACCTCGGCGGCGGCGAGGGTCGGCGACGTGCAGCCCAGGATCTCGCCCTTGGAGAGCGGCGTGATCTGCGGGATGAGGACGCGGAATCCCGCGCGCTCCAGCACGGGCTTCAGGCCGTGCAGCGTCGCGTTGAACTGGATCGTGCCGACCATGGCGACGGTTTTGCCCGGCTGGAAGTTGCGCTCGAGCGTCGCGACCAGGTGCGTCGTGTCGATGCTGATGTCCACGAAGATGTACAGGGTCTTGATCTGCGTCACGTCCACGGGGATCAGGCAGCTGTGCGCGTAGTGCACGAGTAGGTCGCATCCCAGCGCTCGCGCCGTGTAGTCGTCGATGCAGCATGCTCCGTACGTCACGTCGCCCATGATCAGGGTCTCGATCCCGGTGCAGAACTGGGTCAGGATGTCCGAGATCGTGGTCGCGAAGATGAGGAGGCCCTCGGGAAATTGCAGGGCCACGCGCTTGGCGCCAGAGGTGCGGATTCGGTGGATGGTCTTCGGGATCTCGAAGGAGTAGTTCTTGGGGAGCAGGGCGATCGCCGCTTGGATGTCGGCGTCTTCGAGGATCTCCGCCGGGACTTGGTTCAGGGTTCGCGGGGTGCGTCTTGGGGCCGCTGTTGCTCTGGTGGTTAGTGGTGGGTTTCTGGGTACGGTTTTGCAGATGCGAGAGGGGGAGGGGCTCACCTTTCTGTATGCTCGTCGACTCGACATCCTGGTGGTCGCTGGACCCTTCCTTCTGTGCTTGGGCGTCGGCGGTGCGCCGTCCGACGAATCTCTTCTTGGGTTGTCGGAGCGGGGCACTCGATGTTGTTGGTTGATTCGATGTGTCCTCCATCACGGGCGCAATGTGTCAGAACCAGTGATTGTGGTGTGTTGTTGCGAGTCGCGATGATTCCTATCGGACGATGGCTCGCATAGTGGGCTGAGGATAATTTAATTCTGACTAAGTGGGGGGTCACGGGCTTGGGTCGGCCTCTTCTCCGCATTTGCTCGGGGGGCGGAACATCATGATCATCACCCTCCCCATCCTCTGGTTCTAAGATACTTTAGCTTCTCGCACTTTCCACTACTGAATGCATTCTCACTTGACTACTAACTTGCTGAATATACGAGATTCATCATGATGAGCTTAAAGCCTAGAATGCGTCTCTTCTCTGTCCTCCGCTATGCTCCAGCAGCTCGCCGCCGCTTTGCGACCGAGGCGCGGTTAACCTCGGACCATGTTCGCATCGTCGAGGTCGGCCCACGAGACGGCCTTCAGAACGAGAAGAAGTCCATCCCGCTCGAAACCAAACTCGAGCTCATCCGAAAACTGGCCAAGACGGGCGTGACGACAATTGAGGCTGGATCTTTTGTTCCTGCAAAATGGGTGCCTCAGGTACGCGAGTAGCTGTCTTTTGTACATCGTAGCGTGCGGGGAGGGGGAGTGGCTATCCTCGAGAGGGCATCGGAGACTCAGATGCAAATGCAACCAAACCTTGATATGATACTCACAACTGGTTGATCGTTTATACAGATGGCCAGCACAGCGGAGATCTGCGAGCACCTGCTGCAAACACCGCCGGAGTCGGCCAACGTCATTGCGTACAACTACCTGGTCCCGAACGTCCGGGGCCTCGAGAACCTGATCAAAGTCCTGGATGCCACCGGCGTCCCCGCCGACGCTCCGTCGACCACGACGGAGATCTCCTTGTTCGCGGCCGCCACGGAGGCCTTCTCCAAGGCGAACACGAACTGCACGATCGACGAGTCGCTGGAGCGCGTGCGGCCGGTGGTCGCCCTGGCGAAGACGCGCAACATCCGGGTGCGCGGCTACGTCTCGGTGGCGCTGGGGTGTCCCTACGAAGGGCCCGAGGTGTCGCCCGTCAAGGTGGCGGACATCACGCGCTCGCTGCTGGAGATGGGCGCCGACGAGGTCTCCGTGGCGGACACCACGGGCATGGGCACCGCGCCCCGCACGATGGAGCTGCTGCAGGCGCTTCGCGCGGCCGGCATCGCCAGCACCGACCTCGCGCTGCACTTCCACGACACCTACGGCCAGGCCCTGGTCAACACGATCGTGGGGCTGGAGCATGGCATCCGCATCTTCGATAGTAGCGTCGGCGGGCTTGGCGGCTGCCCCTACTCCAAAGGCGCCACGGGGAATGTCTCGACGGAGGATATGGTGCACACGGTCCACAGTCTGGGGATGAATACGGGGATCAACCTGGAGGAGATGGCGAGGATCGGGGCGTGGATCAGCGGGGAGCTGGGGCGGTTCAATGAGAGCCGGGCCGGGAAGGCGATTTTGGCGAGGAGTGAGGAGGATAAGTAGACGGCCATACTTTTTCTTTCAAGTCAGATAGTGGTAATCTTTGAGCTTGAGCATCCAGGAAATAAAGCATCCAAGGAGAGCCGACGATTGCGTATGTACTGTACAGCGAGAACGTCACCAGCCATTGTGTCCACCAATCCCCGTAGCACGGTAGTCTTGCGCCTAGTCATAATAAAACAGTGTAAAGCATCTTTCAGATATAATTATCGTACAAAGAACCATGATATGCATACAATCACACACAGCATATAAAAACCCAACATTGAACCCCTCAATCCAAACATGTATGTAACCCACCACAACCCTCCAAACACTTCCCCAGCAAGACCTTGTACCGGGAATCTAGAAATCCGTCACCCGGCCCCCATAACTCCAATCCCCGCCAGCCCCCCACCGCAACGGCTCATTCTTGGGGCCCCCGATCTCCCCGGTCTTGGGATTCTTCTCCCCCTCGAACTCGGGCTTCAGCCCCGTTTTGATGTCCGGATGCAGTTCCTCGCCCTTGCCCGTGGCCTTGATCTCTGCCGCCGAGGCAGTCGAATCCGGGGACTGGTTGACGCGCGGGGTGCTGAATGCGCCGGTGGAGTTGCGCTGGAGTTCCTCGAAGATTTCTTGTTGTTCTTTGGGGAGGCGGGGCGGGGCGGGCCCGCGGTTGAAGGCGAAGGATGGGCGAGTTTCGTCGTCTGAGCGGAAGGCAGGGGTGGTTGTGAAGGTGCGGGTTGTTGTTACTTTGGTGGTGGTGGTGGTGGTGGCGGCGGTTGGTTTGGTGAGGTGGTAGAGGAAGAGGCGGCGGGTGGGGTGGAGAAGGGACATTTTGGTTGTATGTATTTATTGAGGTTTGGGTGTAAGGTGTGAGGTTGGGTTTGAAGTGTATTTAGTAATGTAAATGGGTTTGTGGTTGAACAGTGTGTTGTTGTGTAGTTGTAGAAGATGCGGAGGAGTGGCGGACAAGAAATTCGAGGGCGGGAGAGGGAAACACCTCCAAGAACCGATAAGCCTGATTGTCCCGATAGCCGCGTCTCGGGGATCTCGGCTTGGGCAACCGCTGGTACGATTGGTCTGCTGGGATTGCACGGCAGTCACTGGTTTTGTCGTAGCGTGTGAGCTGTGATGGTAGGGCTGTACTGTAGTTTCTACTTAATGTCATACTTGGGAGAAGTCTATATGTGATGACCTATATTCAATTCGATGGTGCCTGAACTTACAGACTTACAGTCAAGATGCTCATAGTCGATAAGAAACTCTATGTCAGTCACGTGGACGGCAGGCCAGGCTGTCGCAGTTGCGCTCAACCGTCCGTCCTCTCTTCAATCGTCAACGTCATGTCACCTCCAGCTTATTACATGCCCATTGCGACAATAATCTTGATAACTAAACGTCCCTGTTGTATTTCCCACTGATGGCACTAACTGTTACTTCTGCTGTATGCTTCACTTCAAACTGAACCCTCCTTGTAGTCTCCCCCTCTCCTTTCTGGTTATGTCTTCACCGTCTAGAGAAGACGAACCATCAATGCTACCTCTCCCCGGAGCGCCATCTTCGTCATGGTCCCAGTTTCGTGGACGCCTTGCAGCTCTCTTCCATGGAGCTGATCCAAGAGTCTGTGTGGCATTTTGGCTCTTCGGTAAGCTCGATCTACTCCGCTGACCCCCTTCAACATGGCGATAGCCCGTACTGATCGCTGCCGGGGTTTACCTGTCCCATCTGCGACAGGCTTGATCAACAATGTCCTCTATGTCATTATCCTCTCTGCTGCCCTGGATCTCGTCGGCCCCGACCTGCCGAAAGGCGTGGTGCTGCTCGCCGACGTGATCCCCTCCTTCGGCACCAAGCTGGTCGCTCCGTATTTCATCCAAGCAGTGCCGTATCCCGTAAGGGTCTTGGTATTCGTCACCTTCTCTACCACCGGCATGCTGCTCGTTGCCTTGAGTCCGGCCTACACGGACGGTGGCCCGATTGCCACTAAGATCGCAGGCATCATCCTGTCGAGTATGTCCAGCGGAGGGGGCGAACTTTCCTTTATCGCTCTCACGCATCACTACGGCCCGTTCAGTCTGGCTTCTTGGGGCAGTGGCACGGGTGCTGCAGGCTTGGTGGGTGCTGGCGCATACGCTTTAGCCACCTCCTCTTTCGGCTTCAGCGTCAAAGCAACTCTTCTGGCCTCGGCGTGTTTGCCGGCGGTCATGGTTATTAGTTTCTTCACGATTCTACCCCAGTCCCCGGTGCGCTCGTTTTCGGCACAGAGGACAGGCTACGGTTCTCGGGAGGAGCACACAGCCGATGACGTTGATGAGAGGGAGCAGTTGCTCGACGAATCGACCGATGAGAGTCAGAGCCAGAAAAAGCCAGCTTCCAACGATACTGGCCTTGGATGGCAGGCGTTTAAGGCTAACTTACAGCGATCTAAGGGACTCTTTCTTCCATTGTGAGTATATCCTGCACCTCACTAAACCCGATTGCATGTTCTTACGAAGTCTTTCAGTATGCTCCCACTGTTGCTGGTCTATGTCGCCGAGTACACCATTAATCAGGGTGTCGCACCGACATTGCTTTTCCCTCTCCAAGACTCCCCCTTCGACCACTATCGCGCATTCTACCCAGCTTACAATGCGATCTACCAAGTTGGGGTCTTCATTTCCCGGTCTTCGACCCCTTTCTTCCGTGTTCATAGCCTGTACTTTCCGTCCTTTTTACAATTTCTCAACCTAATCATCTTAACGCTACACTCGTTGTTCAACTTTATTCCCAGCGTGTGGTTGGTGTTTGGGATTGTTTTCTGGGAAGGGCTTTTGGGCGGCCTTGTCTATGTCAGCACTTTCGCTGAGATCGCCGATCGGGTGCCGGTGGAGGAACGGGAATTCTCGCTGGGAGCCACGACGGCGAGTGACTCGGGCGGCGTCTGCATTGCCGGGTTTATCAGCATGGCGTTTGAGGTCTGGCTCTGCGATTGGCAAGTTGCGCGTGGACGAGACTACTGTCGGAGATTGTAGATTGTGAGTGTTAACGTTAATGCGATGAGTGGTTTGAATGTTTATATATACAGCCTGCATAGAGCAGTGTGCACTAGGGTCAGATCAGCATAAATAATAATCAACCATGATATACCTCAAATAGAACAATGGCTGGAAAATACTCATACCTGGAGTCAATTCTGGCGCAGCTGATCTGGTGCAGTGGGGGGTCACGGGACTGGACTGAAGGGAAAAGAAGGAGGAGATCAAGTGACATGTGACGGACCGGGTGCATTTCACCGACTCATTCATCCATCCATTCATCTCACATCCATTCATCTTTCCCCCCCCCTCCCCCACCATTGTCTTAGCACCATTTCTGCACCGGACCAAGTGCAGATCGTTTTGCTCCGACCATGTCTCAAGCCGACTCTTACCCCCAGATGAATAAGCTCCACGTCACTGGATCCAGCCAGCAGGCATGGTCCCTGGTGGGGATTTCACATGCTCGGCTGAGCTTCGTGGGCTTTTGCTGCCCCGTATCCATGGCTGACGGACGGACGGACTGACCACACCCTTCTCTAACTACTATTCACTACCCCATATTTTGGCCACCATGGCGTCTCACTCGGTCTCTTCTCTGTTCCTTGTTCGATTACCGGTTTCAGAGTCAACTTCTTCCAACCAACTCCCATTCTCTCCTTCTAAATCACTTCGTTTGTACGCTCTTGCTTAGGACTTGGTGTATACTTGCTCGCATTCCTCCATTCGCAACCCTATGATTTTATGGCTCTCGCACCTAGAACGCTGTATCTCTTGATTTAGACTCTTATTTCTGCCTAGAAGACATGATAGGTGAGTTGTATTGTGGTGTCCAACCTCTCCATTCGAGCAGTGCCTAACAGAGCGGGCTAGACCACCTTTTGGGAAGACCGTCCACCAAATTCCGAAAGATCCAGGTCCTGGCTGTATTCGCATTCTGGTCGCTATATTTAACAAGGTACGACACCTCAACAAACATGGGTCCGCTGTGTCCATGTAGCTCTTTTGCGTGGCTCTGACAACCCCAAGGGGAAACAAGCATGGCCCGCCCGTTGTTCGCAAACTCTCCTCCCGCCTTACGGAAAAGCTCAGCGTCTGGCAGACTACGGTCATCGTCTTCCTCTGGCTCTATGTCAGTCGCAACTTTGCGAAGATAGTCGGCCTGGAATGTCCAGAGCCCCTGGCAAACCTATACTCACGCTCTTTCTTCCGAGCGACATGGATCGCCACCGCCTTGGACGCTGGTTTCTGGACCGCGATGAAAGTCAAACCCAAGTGGCTGCGGGAGATAGCGTCGCTGGTCTTCACTGTATACTATCTCATTGCCGCGGAGAGGGCGGATGAAAAGGTCCGTCGGGTCCGGGCCACGCTGACGCTGGACCACATGCGGGTCTCGTGGAACAAAGGGACTTCGCCGTATCTCTGGGCCCTAGCGAGCCTGACACGGCCCAGACTCACCAAATATGCGCCGCGGGCGATTCGCATTCCTCGACCGGCGTCTTCGATATATGACCAGCCGACGAATGCGTGGCTGTATTTTGACGGCCCTTTGAGTGAGCTGCGGGACCAGACATGCATTGTTTTGGACATCCCCGGCGGGGGGTTTGTGTCGATGAGCCCTAGGAACTCGGAGGATAGGCTGTTGAGTTGGGCCGCACGGACAAAAGTTCCTATCCTAAGCCTGGACTATAAGAAGGCGCCGGAGTATCCCTATCCGTACGCCTTGAATGAATGTTACGACGTGTACCACACAATTGTGTCCACCCGTGGCCGCTGTATTGGACTCAATGGGCAAACCCATCCTCGAATTGTCATCACGGGGGATAGCGCTGGCGCAAACCTCGCTGTAGGCATGACGCTGATGGTCCTCCAGTCGGGCAGTGCGGATGCGTCACTCTGGCAAGGGCAGAACGTCCTGCCTCGACCTGACGGGCTCGTTCTAGCTTACCCTGCTTTGAACATGAAGATCGAAAGCTGGATGACGGAGGAGCAGATGGCGCTGATCCAGGAGAAAAGCACCCGTCGGACCAACCAGAACGTCTTGCAGCGCAAGAACATGGACTATCAGCGCCTCACGCCCTACACCTCTCCTGGTACATCGTTTGCCGACCTCCAGCAAGACTCGTGCTCCGATTTAGATCTTGAGGCCAACGACCTCGGCGAAAAGACGACGCGCAGACTAGCTCAGCACCAGCACAAATCCGCCATGCTAGCTCAAGAGGCCGAGGCCGCCGCCGTCGCCGAGCACCAGCCCAAGCAGATCCGCACTCGCCTAGCGGTATCATCGGTGATCTCGTACGTCCAGGACCGGATCCTCACCCCGGAGATGATGCGAGCAATGATCATTCTCTACATCGGACCGCATAACCGCCCCGACTTCAACACAGACTATCTCCTCTCCCCGACCCTCGCGCCGGAGGCGATCCTCGCGCGCTTCCCGAAGACGTACATCATCACCGGCGAACGCGATCCTTTGGTCGACGACACAGTGATATTCGCTGGGCGTCTACGTCAAGCGAAACTACGACACTTCCAAGAACGACAGGACCTCGGCCTCGAGAAATCCCACCGCGCCTTCAATGACAAGGACCACGTCGAGGTGTCCCTGCTGCCCGGCATCTCGCACGGCTTCATGCAGATGGCCGGCTTTTTCCCCGAAAGCTGGAAACATATCAACCGATGCGCCACCTGGATCAGCGAGCTGTTCGCCTTGTCGGAGACCAAGACCGCCTCCTCCTCAAGCCTGTTGCAATCACTCCACGATCTCAACCAACCAGCCAAGAAGAAACCCCCTCCACTCCACAGCCTCCAGCACCTCCTCACCCACCGCCCCCGCACCCGCAACCACAGACGCCGGCTAACAGGCGAATCCTCCGCCGACGAAGACAAACCCCTCGAGATGAGCATCACCAAACTCACCCCGCTCACCCCGCTGGGCAGCAAAGTCGGGGGGAGGCCCAGCTCCACCGGCCCACAACCTGCCGATGACGACCACGACGAAGCATCCATCAACAGTCACACTCACTCCCACTCCCAGCCCCAACTAGTAGCAAACGGAAATATCCGTAACCCCGAACGCCTCCGCAGCGTCTCCCGGGGCCGCTCTCTCAAGTCCCCCGCCATCGGTACCAGAAAGCCGCAGCGACAGCAACACCGCGTCCCCGCCAAACTAAGTCTTCCGCCGGACGATTTCGAGTGCGAGGAAGAGGAAGAAGAGGGATATGTCTCCGACTACTTCCAGAGTGCCGTGGCGATCATCCCCCTGCGCGAGAGGAATCGGAGCATGAACAGCCTGGCGAGTGAGGAGGATCTGTTGGATCGGCGGATGACGGGGCTGGCCGGGGGGTTGATGGGGATCGGGGAGGGGGCTCGGACGCCGTAGCTGTCAAGCATCCAATTATCCAAATTCCCCAATAGATAGATATATAGTGCAGGATGGAGCTATCAAACCTGCTGGAGGCGTGTCCCGTTTCCCTTCTTCATTGCCGCCTATGCTCTATGCGCATGCCAGAATAGCTGTGCTGCCTGGTTTACTGATGTTTTGGAAACATATGTGTGAAAAATATTAAGTACATCACATACTCTGGAGTATACCAAATAGGACCTCGGATGAAACCCCTATTTAAATCCAGATCGAGCTAGATGTTACGTACTCGGGACAAAAAACAAGTCCCAATTTAGGCGCCTCACATCCCATGCATGCAGGAACATGACGAAAATGGGCTAGGTACACAATATCCCCCCCCCATAAAATCCCACAAAACAAAACAGAACTGCCATGTCTTGAGAATTACCTATAAGCAAGCGAAATGTACTTCGAATCAAGCTGCACACACAACACAAAAAAGAATACCACGCCTCGCTAATGATACTGCAGCAAGAACACATGAAAATAAGACCCTCGCAACGCCATACAAGGACAGACACACAAAAAAGACCGAGCAATTCCAGACGGACTTGAGGAAAAAATACTAGATCACAGTTGAATCCAAACGTAAACCCAACCCCAAACCCTGCTCACGAGACAGTCTGCATCGGCGACGGCTGTTCTCGACTCGGTTCAATCTTCTTGCGGCGCGGCACCTGGATTCCATTGCGCAGCTGGTCCAGTTTGATCACCCCGGGACCCGTGCAGATGCGGCCCGTCTGCATCAGGGTACGGAGGCGCTTACGGCGGGCGGCGCCGCTGCGTTCTTCGCCGCGGCCGACGCCCTCGTCGATCCACTCCGTCCGAAGGATTTTGTAGCTCATGCCGTCGTGGTGCCCTTCCCAGGCTCGAGACCGGAGGCCGAACAGCACGCTGGATTCGTACCGTTCCAGACGCGGGAGGATGAGGATGGTGATGTGGAGGTCTTTGTCGGAAGGGGGAACGGGGGGCACCCGGGGTCGCTCGCCCTCTTCGAGGCCGATGTCTTGTGCTCTCTGGGGCGCGTGTTGGTATGTATCGCGGATCTCCAAGTCAAGCAAGTCCTCATCAACATCCTCACTCCAAGCGCCCCGAATGAAGCCAGAATGAATGGCTGCCGCAACAGGGTCGGAATCGTCGGTGTAGACGCCGGTTCCCCAAAGCGCACGGCGAGCACAAATCTCCTCGCGACGGCCGTTGTCGATTCGGAAGCGGGGGACGCGGATGGTGAACGTGCAATTCTCTTTGCCTTCGAAGCGGGGTAGAGGAACAGGCGTGGTGGTGTACCCAAACTTGGCACTCTCCAGGGTAGCCTTTTCTGTTGGTACCCCGATCTGAGGAGCGTACAGGGTAGAGCCCAGGTGGTGACGAGGAAGATGGGCGACGCTTGTCAGAAGAGGTTCAATGGTTACCACGGTGCGAGGTTCCCGAATCGGTGTGACAGAGGAAGCAGGAGCCGCTGATCCGGCTGGTCGGGGAGCGTGATGATGATGGTGATGGTGGTGGGGGTGATGGTGATGATGATGAGCAAGCGTCGCTGCCGCCGCGGTGGCTGGCCCATCCGCGGGGGTCGCCGTGCGATGGAAAAAGTTCATCGACGATAGAGGTCGATTCTGGCCGAGAGCGGCCGCCTCTTCCTCCGGTTTATGCCGGTGGTGATGATGGCTACGTCGAAATTAGTATACGTCATAGTCAGACAAAGGTTCGGGGGAGCTTACTGATGGTGGTGGTGGTGAACGTGCCGATTTCGCCGCCCGCGGGAGGCTGCGCCCGATGCCCCAGCCTCGGTTTCAGGCCGAATGTCTTCGTCGCGCGATTTCCGAGATCGCTTTCCGTTGGTGGAGGTAGGACGGGGAATCTTGGTCTCATCCGCTGTAGTTTCACTGTTGGTGGACCGGGCGGTGGCACTGTCCCGTTTGAAAGGGCTGGCTGAGGTCATGGGCGTCGATGGTCCGCTCCCGGCCGTGGCCCCCGTCACGCCGCCCACTCCACTTCCGATTCCCGAGAACACACGGCCCAGCTCATTTTTGATTCCTGATTCCCCAGCGGGGCCCAAGATCTGCGCCTGAGCTCCCTGGACCGCCTGGGGCAGCGGTGAGGCTCGTCCACCCCTTTTCGCGTCCAGCCCGACGCTAAGCAAATTCCGATGCGCTAGGAGCTCATCGCTTCCTTTGCGTCGCTGTTCATCCGAGGCGGCCGAAAGAATCATACCCGCAGAGGCAGCGGAAGAGCTGACCGGGAAGGCGCGTGTGTCGGTTTGTAGCTTACTCAGGTATGGTGTCTGCTCATGCGACGGGGGAGTGGGCTGGCCTGACTGCGAGTGCACGGAGAGCGAGGGGGCGCGTGACCCGCCTAGCTGAGACCCCAGCGACTTAGTGTAGTTCTGGATGGCACCGAAGCCAAAACCAGCGCCCGGCTCCGGGGCGGGAAAGCGCTTGATCTCGGGGGACGCGGGTTGCGAGCGTCCAAGCTCCCAGGCGGAAGGCCCCTGGGGCCGAGGAGCGGCTGCATCGCGGTCTCCATAAGGCTGGCCGAAGCGAGGAACAACGTGCGCCGCAGCTTTAGACTCGGCTTCATGTGCCACTGCGCGCTCCCGCTCCCGAATGGCTTGTTCCTCCGCGTGACGATCAGTGTAAAGTCCCCCGTAACGACTGTGCGGCAGCTCGTGGCCCATATAGGATGAGGCTCGCTGGTGTGTAGGCACAAACGATCCTTCTCCCATGCTCGTGGTTGTGGGCATTGCGATCGGTCGAGACAGCGGACTGTAGCCGGCCGTGCGAGGCGGCGGTTCGAGATGTTGCGGCTGACTACTGGGACGAGGTACCGGTCCACTGAAGCTGGTTCGGCGAGGTTCATTGTACGGAGCATCGGCCGAGGGGATCTGGGGGGATGGATGTGTGGAGTGGGGTTTGTCGGGAAACTGGGTGGATGGGTGACCGCGTGGCGGACCACCGAACTTGGCCTGCTCGGGAATCGCCTGGGGTACACCACCGGACCCCGATCGATACGGTCGCGGGGGTTGGTTCTTGGCAAAGGACTTTTCAGGAGTTTGCGATCGTCGGAAGACAGGGTAGTCGAGCGGGGACGGGCGGGCGGGCGCGGTCGGCGGCGACATCGCGCCGGGAGCCGATGGCGGATGCGCGTTGCCAAACGAGGCGGACGTGGCGGGCAGACGGCCAAAAATTGAGGAGCCTACATCCCGGCCTGGTCGGTCAGCGTCCGCGCCCAGCATGGACGATATTGACATGCTGCTCCCGGGACGATGATGAGCCGGATTGCTGGGAGGCTCACGCGACAAGAAAGGGGTGGGTAGAGAGTGCGTGGTGCCGGGTGGAGCGCGCGCGGGATAGTGCTGCGGCGACGAGGGAGGAGGCATGCGGCGGGCGCCCAGTGGCTGGGCGGTTGAGGCATCTTGAACACCTGTAGAGAGAAGAGAGTGATCGGAGTTAGCCCAAGTATGTCCGACGGAGTTCAGCACAAGAAGCCAGATAGCAGACGGCGAAGGAGATTGGTCGGGGGCCGGCGAAAGACTGCGACAAAACACGCTGCGAGCCAGAATGTCTGGCACATACCAGGGAACCCGGAGCTACCACTGCCGCCCAAGGACCTTCGACGGCCCTGGTCATGCGACGGGGGTGGATTCATATCGCATGCACAGACGAGGGGGTTGAGGGAGCGCTGAGAACACGAAAAGAGGAGGGGAGGAGGGAAACAAGGGGCAAGAATCGGTTAGGAATATTCGAGGCCCCCTCAGCGCAAGAACTTAGAGCAGAAGATAGGGTATAAAGAAGATAAATGCGAAAAGAGAAGAGGATGGAAGAGGGGGGCGAGGGTGAAGGCGCAAGGTGCCGAAGCAGGTGGTGGTGATGATGATGATGATGGTGGTGATGATGAGATAAACGGGGAATGGGAGAGAAACCCGAAGGAAGGCGCGCGACGGACAAGAAAGCAAAGCGAGTTCCACAACCGGGGGCAGAACCCGTGACTCTGGGCGGGCCTGGATCACTAGTCCCGATCTAGTAAGGATGCCCTGGCAGTCGAGGCTAAGCTCAAAGAAGACTAGCTCTCCCGAGGCTTCCTGGGCTGGAAGGCGATCAGGCGCCACAGACGCGGCTGATAATCCCTCGCTGATTGGCCCGGCTGCCCCAGTCTCTGCTTCCCCCCCTCCTCTCTCTTTCTCCCCGTTTGTAAGTAAGGTTGTTTGTAAATCGATGGATAAACAAACCAAACCAAACGAAACCAAACGGTGCCGCAGCAGAGCTTGGGTCGTGTTGAGGAGAAATATGTCATAAATCGGGAACCCCCCCCCCAAAAAAAAACAAAGACAAAAGAGTCATCTTCCCGCCTGCAGTTACCGGGTTTTCTGCCACGTCCCTGGTCGCTTATCCCGTCCATATTCATGCGTGCCATTGGTCATGTCTAGCAGGCATTGGCTGCCATCCCATCCATGATCTGGCCTTCCGAGATGCTACGCAGTTCGGCTCAGGCACCCAGCAACAACAACAACACCACCACCACCGGCGGGAAGAATCATAAAAACTCAAAGCGCAGTGTGGAATCGAAAAAGCAAACCAAACCAATATTTCAGAGCAAGGAAAAACCAAACTGGCCTACCTTCACGATACACCATCCGTCGATCCTGGTGATTGAGGTAATTATGATCATAAGGGGGATCATGGCGGTTGTCAGAGTCTCGTTGCCCAGCCGGAAGTTTATGCTTCTTGGAGGAACCATGGCCAGTCGGTGCGAGGTGATACCCGGATGATTCTGGCCGCAAGGATGCGTAGGCGGGCTCATGGGTGTACGCGACGGAGGAAACGGGGGCGGGAGCGGACGAAGGGGTCGGATAATTGTAACCCGGGGTCGTGGCAGCCGATCGAGGCATCTCGGACTCTCGTCGTTGAAGCATCTCGTAGTATGGGCGTGGTGATGGTGGCCGAGGCGGTCCGTAGGCGCGCGCGGCGGGCGGCGCTGAGGGCGCCCCTCGAGGATCGTGGGCAACCGCTCCCAGCAGCGAGGGATGAGGGTGATATGGTGGCGGCGGGTGGTGCTTTTGGAAATCCATCATCATGGTGAACGAGCGGAGAAGCGATCGGAAAGGAGAAAAAAACGAAGAGTGAGGAGGTGTGTTGGGTTGCGTTCGGGCGCGGATGGGGGGGGGGGGGGGGCGTTCGGCGAAATGGCGGTGGAAGCTGAGTTTCAAGCAAGCAAGCACAAGCTGCAACAGCAACAGCGGCACTCGGTAGCTTGCAATCCCCGGTACAAGTCGAGTTTAATCTCCCTCTCCAGAATCGTCTGGTGGGGCGAAACAACAACACCTAGCTAGCCAGTACTGAGAGGTTGAAATTCAGCTGGATGAGAACCAAATCAGTGGGGGGGAGGCAGAGACAGAGGCGGAGGGAAAGGGAAAGGGAAAGCTGAAGATAGGAGATGGGATGGATAAAGGAGGGAGGGAAGAAGGAGGAGGGAGGAGAAAGGTGGGTGTGGAGAGAGGAGAAGGGGAAACGAGCGCGAAGGAGAAAAGAAAACACGAAGAAAAACGGTGAGTAATGGATGGATTGGATCGACTGGATGGATGGATGGATCTCACTCCGACTAGCGCGAGTGGAATTAGAATAGAGTCGAGTAAGTTTACCTACCTTGTAGTTGGGTTAGTGAGTACCTAGTAGTGAGTGGCTGTACCAATCACGCTGGCTGTAAATCCAGGCTAGGAAGGATTTATTGGGGAGGGAGAAAAGGGAAAAGGGAAAGGGAAAGGGAAAACTGGTGTGTAAACTCAGCTGAGAGTAAAGAAAGTCATTAAAGTCAGGACCAGGGAATGCGAGGGAAACTAACAGGATGGGGCCGTCGTGGCAGCGGGGAAAAACGGGGTGGAGCCATGCAAAAAAAAA